GCTGGAAGTTTTGGTGCGGGATCGCTGGCACAAAGTTCTGGTGAACTTGAGCGAGGACGCCCTGGTCCTGAGCTGCGAGGAGGGCGCGGTGGCGCACAACGGCCTCGGGGCGGCCACCAATGGCTCATTCTGCAGGGGCGCCGGGTCCCCGGGCGGCGCGCAGCCCCCGGACTCGCCGGCGAACGTCCGCACCGCCTTCACAGACCTGCCCGAGCAGGTGCCCGAGGCCATCTCGAACCAGAAGCGCGGCGTGAAGGTGCTGAAGCAGGAGCTGGGCGGGCTGGGCATCAGCATCAAGGGGGGCAAGGAGAACAAGATGCCCATCCTCATCAGCAAGATCTTCAAGGGGCTGGCGGCGGACCAGACCCAAGCCCTCTACGTGGGCGACGCCATCCTGTCCGTGAACGGGGCCGACCTGCGGGACGCCACGCACGACGAGGCGGTGCAGGCTCTGAAGCGCGCGGGCAAGGAAGTGCTGCTGGAAGGTAAGGGGTTAACGCGGCAGGGGATGCGCCCCCGGCACCCTCTTATCGCCCACGTGTCAGCACAGCCGGGAGCCAGCGGCTAGGAGGTGGCCAGCTGGGGAGCAAGTGGCCAGGAGGTGGCCAGAGTTTTGACAACTTTCACCCACCTGGGGGCAACTTCTGCCATGCCTGGAGTAGTGACAGACTGGACCTGGAGGGCTGTGTGTATTAGAGGGGGCCACCAGGGTTCCCTGCGCACGGCCCACTGGGTGTGCGCCTGGTGCGTAGGGAGCCCACCCTCAAATAGTCCAAGCATAGACTAGAGGCTGGGAGGTGGAGCGAGGTAAACACAGGTAGGCACCCGTCCGCCCGCGTAGCAGAGCGGGCACAACTTTTCCACTCTGGCAAAATCTGCCCCCCTCGGGCGCCTGGGCAACCCAGCCGGAAAGGGGCCTGAGATGGAGGGTAACGTGTGAGTGCTGCTAGAATTCTCGCCACGCTTCTCCGCGTGTCTCCTGCACACTGCACAGTGGGGTTATGCCCGCCCGGTTGAGCCGAGCCAAGGGCTGGGAATGTGTTGCCTTTTTTATGCGCCAGCTCGCTCATCTGGTGCCTGGCGGGTCAGTCTGGATTCCAGCTTGCTCCAGGTGGAAGGCTGGAGAAGGGTTGTTCTCAGCCTGTGTTTTCCTGGGCTTGTTTTGGAATCAGCCTTTGGATTTGTAAACAGTTGCCCCTGCCTTTGAGGCCTCTTCAAAACGCCTCCCTTGAGATCTAAAATTTCCGGTCCCTATAGATCGAATATGAATAGAGTGGAACTGAAAGTTCTAGTGTTCGAAGGAAAGAGGAGCAGTGGCGAGCAAACCATCATTTCATTCCTACAGCGCATGCTCTCATCGCTTACTTGTCATCTTCTGGACAGTCACCTCTGTGAGCTCATCTAGTATATTATCTCCTTACCAGCAGTCCCTAAGTTGAGATTGAGTCCTCTGGGGGGGGGGGGACGGGACTATTATCTGCTTAGAGCCATCCATGTTGAGTGAGTGAATGGACAAGCAAAGCCCCCCAGCCGGCTGAAGAGAAGGTTTTAAATAGGAACTTTGTAAACTGGTGGTTGACTGAAGCCCTAACCCAATGACATGAATCAATTTCCTGCTCACTGGAGGGGCAGAACTGACTTGTGAACCTGAGAGAGTTCAAAGTTGGGAAACCAGCTCTGTCACATGTGACAGCTGATGCAACTCCACTGGTACGTGCTGGCCCTCCTCCTGGCTCAGAGTGAAGGCTTCCATTTGTTTGTTGGTTTGTTTGGGGTTTTTTTTTCGCCCCATGTTTATCTAGAGAATTTATGTTGCCTTCCCATTTCACTACCTCCGAGTGGAAGGCTGTTTGCTTTGGCTTGATGATTAACATAAGCAAGTGCAAGAAAAGTTTTCTGGGCTCAGGTGTGTGTTGATGTGTGTGGCAAGAGGTAAGTAGGAGTAGAGTTTGGACTAAAAGCTCTTGGGCCTGATCCCTTCGCAGGACATGTTAGAAATACTAGGCATCAGTGAGAGGAGGGGCAAAAGAGGACCACTTTTTTTAAAAGTTGCTTAAGATTAAGTATTTTAGTTTATTTTTTTTAAATTGAGATTTTTAAGGAAAGTTTCTAAAGAACTTATCATTTTCTTTTATTATGTCTTTTCTGTCCCTCCTTACTTTCAATTTAATGAATAATGACTTGGCAAAGAGGTAAAAAAGAGGGAGAACGGTTGACTCTGCATTTGAAAAGAAACACAGTCAAATGAAAGCAACAAGACCTAAGTGGCTTTCTTTTTTTTTTCTTCTTTTAAATAAAATGTTTATTGTATACTGGTTTACTTGCAAAGTTTGTATACATTGATTTTCACACTGGATTGTTCACCTTTCCTTGACCCAGCCCACTCTCCATCTATTGAATTGTGTGACCCTGTGATTAGCCACCCTCCCCCTTCCCCATATGTGGCTTTCTTGAGACAGCCAAGTCTAAGAGAAACATGGGGGGCAGGCAGGACCCCCTCAGCTTAGTGCTGTATCTGCTCCCCAGCCCTAGTGTTCAGAAATCGACCACTATTGAGAGAAGTAAAAGGAAATCTTTCTCAGAATGGTTGAGTGTGGGTTCCCCAGGCTGTGGAAGAGAACACGTACAGACCGTCAAGTCGAATGTCACATGCCTTCAGTTTGATGGCTTGGTTTAGAGACGGGGCCCGTGGTGTTGTTCGGTGCCATCAAGTCACTCATAGTGCCTCAATGAAGAGCAGATCTGAGCCCTCTGCTGTCCTGTGCCGTCCTCATCATCTCCGGCACACTTGAACCCATCGCTGCAGTCACCGTGTCAGCCCATCTTGATAGGAGTCTTCCTCTCTTTCGCTGACCCTCCACCTTTCCAAGCGTGATAGCCTTTTTCAAGGAATAGCCTCTCCTGGCCGCATGTCCAAAGTATAAAAGACAAAGCTTTGCCATTCTTGCCTCCAAGGAGCACTCAGACTGCACCTTTTCCAAGACATACCTGTTTGTTCGTTTGTTTAGCAGTCCATGGCTGGGAGAATTTATAAAACTGGTGGCCTAGTAGTAAGAAGCTGTGTTGAAATCGCAAAGGCATGTAGTTTGAATCCACCCGCTGCTCTACGAAGTGGATGGGCAGTCTCCTCTGCGAGGTGTACCGCCTCTGAAAACCCACTGAGGACTCAGCTATGAATCAGTTCTGTTTCAACAACCACCTAAATAAAGGGCTGTTTTTGAGCCCCCCTTTTTTTATGAACACCTTCATGTTTGTATTCACAAATGATGTTGATTTCTAAGTGTCTACATAGGAGAGCCTTCAAGGATGTAAGGGGAGAGGGCTAAGGGATATTTTAAAGTTATAGTCATTTGGTAAAAAGGCAGTTTCTACTTAGGAGGCTTTTGGGTTTTGCATGGAGATTGGGTGAGTTCCCTATGACGTGAGTTTCGCCCCCTTGTGGAAAGCCTTTGCCACTGCTAGTGAAGCATCCTATAAGGTGAAATGCAGGCTCTCAGAGATTCATGGCAGCTTCTCAGGGGAAATCCAACCACATAATTCATCTTATCTGAGACTTCGGTGTGAAATGGGAGTGTAGAAAGCTGTTAGGCCAGTTAACTTGACCAGACTACTTTAAACGATAATATTCAGAGAATCAAGCATATGTACCAAATTCCTGCTGTGATTAAGCTATTTTTAGAATTTAAATGAAACCATGATTGCATTGCTTCTGTTAAGGAATTACCTCTTCCTCTTCATTTAGTTGTTATCTTTTAAAAAAAATTTAAAACGAATTATAGGCCATTCCTGTGGGAGCTGATTTGAAAGATTTGAAGGACAGAGAATCATAACCACAGGCCACATTTTTCTTGCACACTTAATATGCATCGGGCTAGAGTGCATTGGTTCATTTTACATTGAGAGTAACTCCAGGAGACCAGCCTTTGCTGGCATGAAATATCAGTTTTGGGAGAGAATTTGAACTTTAAGGAACCTCATTTTGCTTAAGGTGTCTAGATTCTTAAAGAATACCTAAACTGAAGCCTCGTATCCCCTGGCATCAAGTTAATTCTACCTCAGGGTGGCCCTGGTCCCATTTGTAAGCATGGAGATCTTAGTGAAAGCTGACTGCCATCCTTCTCCCATGAACTGATGACCCTTTGCTTAGGAACCTAACACGAAACACACTGTACCACCAGGGCTCCTCTAAAAATACCCAAGAACCTTGAGATTAGAGTCTTGGGCCTTAGAAACAGCTCTGTGATAGAAGCAGATTGAACGTTGTGTCATTCAGTTGATTGTGACTCACAGGTACCCTGTGGGCCTGAGTAGAACTGCCCCATAGGGTTTCCTCGACTGACATCTGTAAGAAAAAGGAACACTGGCTCTAACAGGCAGCGGCTTAACCATTGTGCCCCCTGGAGCTCCTTAGACTAAGGCCATGTGTCTCCAGTCTGTTGATTAGGAAGGTAAAGCTGTAAGAAGTGATTTGTCCTAATAAAATCTTCTGCTTTCTTGGTTTGGGGAGCAGAGTGGGGTAGTCTGTAGAGAGTCACACCACTCACCCAAGGGCTGGACCTCAAGGCTGTGCAGATCTACCAGTAGAGAGAGATGGCAGCCTCCGCCTGTGTGATCTGTAGCCTGAGACACTTGGGGGAAGGTCAGCTCTGAGCTGGTTCTGCCAGGAGGGTGAGAATTCAAGTTTTCCCTTGTTTGGGGTTTCCACTCTCTGCTGATGCTGTGATGATTTACTACACACTTATTGACTTCAAATAACACAACTTTATTATTTTATAGTTCTTTAGAAGAAATGTGTAGCTCCCCGGCTGGATTCCCTGCTGGAGGCTCTGGGTAGACTCTGTTTTGCTCTGCTTTGTTATCTTTTTTTTGAGCATCATTTTGTTTATTTCTTTTAATAATTTTAATGAACATTTACAGAGATTTTTGGATTTCCATTCATTCATTGTTGCACTTTTCTCCCTGCCCACCCTATTCCCCAGTTGGCTCTTCTCTTTGAAAAGTAAAAGAAAAATTCTTTCATTGGTATAGAATCCTATCCACCCCGAGTACACTCCACTATGCAGCCTTCATTCTGGACTCTTGTCATAACCATAATGCCTTATCATATATCACTTTTAAACTGTTCTCTCCCTCATCTGTTTCAATGCGTATACATAATTTATCCAGTTTTTCTCAGTCTTACCCCAGCCCTGATGTCAGTCCCATTCTACGACAGTGGCACTATGCAGTATTTGTCTTTGTCTTTTTGTGACTGAGATATTTCACTCAGCATAATGTCCTCCAGAGTCACCCATTTTGAATAATATTGCATGAGTTCCTTGTTTTTCAGAATAGTATTGCATGCGTTCCTTGTTTTTCAGTGAGCTTTTAGCGACTGTCCACATACCCTGCCTCATGGGTCCTTCCATCGTTTAAGGTTGCTGGGTCCTCAACTTGCTTACCATGCATTACTCCAACTTCTTGTCTGTCTTCATCGTCTACTTTG